AAAGGCCAAAAGGAAAGAGCCGACGAAAAAACACACCGGAACCGAAGGGGCACTACCAACCGAGGAGAAGACAGAGCACGCTGACCAGAGACCAGGATGGTGCAAGCGGCGCACGAACAGGCCGGAGGTGAAACGACGCACAAGACAGCTGACTAACGGTGCAGAAGCAACACCAAGACCGAAAGCAAGCTGAAGCGGCTCCGCCCGCGCCGCACGAAAAGAGGCGACAGTATGTGGCAAGACGACGGCCCCCAACCCCCACCAGAAAACCAAGCCGAGAGTAAACCAAGCTAACAAGAGTAACCACCTAAGAAGGGACAGGAAAAGGAAGGACCGCCAAAATACCCCATACTGCCGCCAAGAGAAGCACGCAGGTGGGACACCTACCACGAAGCCACCCGACCACCAACCGGAGGCGAGACCGCGAGGCAGAACATAAGCAGCCCCGACAAGGCCCCTCCGAGCCCAGGAAAAGGCGGAGCCGCGGGAAGATCTCGGGCGCGACCACCGAAACCCAGGCGGCACAAGGAGATGGAACGTCTGCCGAACAGAAAAACTCCCCAAAGCATGCAAGCCCGCCAGGAGTTCAGAAACGACGGGTCCGACGCGAGACATCGCAAGACCCCCAAAAAAACCAACCGGCAGGGCAAGCTAGGAAACCAAAGAAGGCGGAAGGGTCGCCGCCAGAACAGTACCCGAACCAAGGGGTACGAACAACTGCAATAGACCAAGACAAAGAAGCACATCACAGGACACAGGCTGACAAACGCCTAAGAACACACGCAGAACACCCCTGCTGCAGAGGAGGCAGGAAGAAAGAGCAGAAGCACAAAAACCCCAGGATAACAACCAGGGGTGGACAATCAGGCAGGGACAGAAAAACCCCCACGCAATCCCCAGGCACAAAACGGCAGCAAAGTGCCACTCCACAACCGGACACAGGAACAAGGACACGCCACCGTGAAACACGGTACCAATGCACACGTGCAGCAGCAGCAACAGGCACCACTGCAACATGCAACATGTAAATAGCAACTCCCTTCTGCAAAGGCAGAGAACGGAGCAGGCAGACCCCAGACAGGGCCAACGGAGACACGACAAAACCGCCCAGACCAAAACAAACTCCACGGCGCATGCGCATAACACGCTGGCTGAACCGCACACCCTCTCTGCGGGAAGGAGCCAGCCAGGACTACTGCACCCAAAAGAGGAAGCCAATAAAACCGGGCAAAGAGCCCAAGGAGCCCAACTGGGCGACAAGCCTAACCGGGCGATACCCAACCGGGCGACAAGTAGCCCAACAGGGCGACAAGGCCCAACGGGCGACAAGGACAAGCCGACAGACGTTCCAATAATGCGGGAAGTAGCGAAAAACCTTCCCGTACCCTCGAGAACACAGAAGCCAACACTAGTCCCGAAGGCACACGAAGGCGCAAGCGCACCCGAGATCAGAAGTCACGCAGAACCCCATCGAACGGGGAAACATGACGAAAACACTGTCCCAAAAAGGGGTGGGAGGAAACATCCACCCACAGGACGGAACCAACCGACACAAAGGCCAAGGAACCGAGCCCGGGGAGGGGCCGACGCCCAACAGCACGTACGACGAGTGGGGAGGAAAGACCCCACTCCGCGTAACCACAAGCCCCGCCTAGAGGGGGATAAAAAAAACCCACGGGGTCCAACGGGGCCAAGGCCCCCCAAGTCAGCCCCTCCCCAGCCCCGGGAACCTACACGACAGGCCCCGGGGCCGAGCCGTTCCCCCAAAGCCCCGGCCGTACCAGAAAACCGGGGCAGCCGTGAAAACACTAAGGAAGGGAGCCCACTGGCAGACTCATACAACACGGCTGGAGGAACAGGCTCAAATGCCCCCGTCACTACCCCGGAAGGGGAATTCCCCGAGACTGCCCGAGTCTCAACACCATCAAAAACCCCGCCCCGAACCTACAGACGGTAAGGAACCGGATGCAGGCAGGAAGGGTGATCCAGGGGAAAGACAAGGGGGCGTGGATGGAACCGAAGCAACCAACACCCCCAAGTCCCAAAACGAACTACAACGGGGCAGCCCCGGGGCTCCCGGGGAGGAAACCACGAGAACGTTGCCACCACCAAGGCTCAAGTGCAACGCCCCTGCTGCCCGCACCCGCTTTGTTAGCACAACTGGGTAACCGAGCCACAACGAGCAACCAAACTCGCAGGACTCCGGGTCGAAGGTGTCACCGACCCCACAGGCAGCAGACGGAGGCAAAACAGAGAGTCACCCAGAGACAAAGGGTGAGAGCAACCCTCAAACTCGCTGGAAGCGAGGGGGGGACTCTGGGGTCACATCCATCGGACCCGCGCGCCCCCAGGGGTTTCCCAGGGTCCCGAGCGTTTACTATAAGAGGACTCGCGCTCAGGTAATCCCAGGCAGGGTACTGCTAACCGGCACCCAAAGCTACCAAACAACTTTCTAAGAGCTGAACCCCCGGGACGTGTACACTCACGGGGACCTAGCAGGGGGTACCACCAGAAAATACTCAGAACACAAGGGACACAAGGGGCAAGAACGAAGGCAGACCCCCCCCCACCAGGTAGATAAACAAAAAGAAAAAGAAAACCCCGCAAGAGGACAGCGTACCCAAGCGGAACAGAGCCGGCCGCTATGATTGGTAAAGACAAGCTGCACAGTACCCTGCGCCCCACCAGTGCAAAAACTGCCCCTTACTCTAAGGCGAACAAGGGAGACAGAACACCCGAGCACACAAAGAGCGGCCGAAAACCAAGCAGTAAACGGCCAAGCAGGGGCAGGACCCAAGGAACTTGTGGAAGGTGGCCCCAAGCCCCAAGGGCAGTACTTACAGGGCACCTAGGGAAGGGAACCCTAGGCGCATGCAGCCCGAGTACTGGAGAATCACTCCCGGCTCACACACCACCTAGAAAACAGACACCACACTCTAGGTACAGTGCTGAAACAACCACTGGAGCCGGAGCACATAACCGTTGCCTATAGCATCAGCCGAAGAACTAATGGGTGGATAGACGGCGTGGGAGGTCTGGGGCTCCCCCTTCCCCCTCCCGGGGAGAGGGGAGCTGCGCAGACAGCGGCGCGGTGACGTATGACGTCATACTAGTTTCCTTGTTTTCTGTTGAAGAGTTCTAACCACTAGTTCGGCTTTTGGTAGCAATTTTCACCAGAATAGGGGTTTGTTTTGGAATGCTTACCTTTCTGGATGCTTGACCCGGTCATGGCAGACATAGAATGCTTCCAACCACACGGGGGTTTCTATAGGCCATTGCTCCCCTTGCCTCTCTGAGGGGGCCAGGTTCTGGACGTGGTCCCCGGTAGGCCCTAGAACTCCATACACATGACTGATGCCAAAGTCTGACATTAGCATATCAGCCGGTAAAGCTCCGGGGAGCCGACGGGGCTCCCCCCAGAAATGATCAATTTAACACCATATTCAGTTTATGGATTAATTTCATGCAAAGTTCTCTTTTTAAGTATTGAGCATGTATGGACATGGTTGAATGCAACAAAAAGCACTTATAAAAGAAGAAGAGAGCAAGTTCAAGAGCTAAAGGTGTAATGAATGACTGGGTTGGTATTAACCCTTGAGCTGTGCCTGTTTATACAAAACAATCCCCTAGTGCTTGGGAAAAAAATAAAAAAAATCCTCGAATATTATTAACACACTAGCAGTCCGGCATCACTGTGTTCCTGATTGTAAATGTTCCAGGATCCCTGGGGCATCACTCAGTGATGCCTAACATGTTTATGCTCTTATGTTTTCTTAGTTTTGAGTTACAATTGTAAATTGTCAAAATGTTCATAAATGAATTTGCTAAAGTATAGGCACCATGCAAAATGTGCTTATGTAATAGATTGTGTGTATATATCTGAATACACATTTTTAGCATCACCAGCATTTTAATGTCACTGGAAAGTTTACTATTGGAGTATAGATGAGCGTCTTTACGTCATCAGACCACTAAAGTGTTAAATTAATGCATTCCCTGATCACGGGAGTGGGGGGTGGAGGCAAATCTTGAATCATTCAATCATGAATGAAAAGAGGAAATATCTCGATCACATCATAATTCACAACCATTTGTAGAACAATCACCCCATGGAGGTCGCCCCAGGTCAGGCATGGGGTAGGAGTTATTGCAAAGATATTTTACCTATTTATTTCAATGTCTCCAATTGGTTTTTTGCAGAAATATTATTCAATAGTGTATCATTTGAGACATTTATATAATGAAATGTGTGGAACATTGGAATACTCAAATATATTCAAGTCACTAATAAACTAATATATTCTTAAAACAATTAAACATAATGGGTTTTGCTGTTCTTACACTGTATACATACTTTATATATAACTATCAACATTTTCATGCACCATTATGAACCACTAAACAGTTCTGGTGGGTGTAATAATGTTCTAACCAGTGATCAGAGTTCAGCCTAGCCCCACATGTTTTGCATGAAGTTGTAACAGGACGTATTGAATATACTGTATTATATTTTTTTCATATTTTTAATAACCTAATAACCTGCATACTCAACAAATGGTCTGATATATGAGGTATACAAGGTTATGAATAATTCCTTACATAAGTTCTAAAGGCCATTCTTATGTTGGCCAACCTGGCATATGCCACATGATATCCTCTTGATGTGCGTTTCAGGGGACAGGTCTCGTGTGATATCAACCCCCAAGTCTTTCTCACTCTCCGATTCTTGAAGAATTTCATCTCCTAAGTGGTACCTTATATCTAGCCTCCTGCTCCCTACACCTATTTTCATTACTTTACATTTGCTTGAGTTAAACTCCAACAGCCATTTGTTGGACAATTCCTTCAGTTTGTCCAGTGTGTGAGAGTATGAGAGAATGTGAGAAAATGTGTGAGGATAAATAACAAAATTAATGAACAAAACTTACTCTTCCTCGAAAGACCAGCTCCCAGGTTATGACTCAGATCAAAGGGATCTGAGAGAATGTGAGAAAATGTGTGAGGATAAATAACAAAATTAATGAACAAAACTTACTCTTCCTCGAAAGACCAGCTCCCAGGTTATGACTCAGATCAAAGGGATCTTCAATAACAATGCAGCGGGAATTCCACAATTTCTGCAATCGAGTCAATGGTGCAAACTGGCGAATTGTGACCACATTTTCCTTCCAATTGAAAGTCTCGGTGTAATAACATAACATGGATACCCACAAATGTCCTACGGACTCCTTATTCTTGCCATGATCTTTCCACACATGCCGCTGTTAAAAGAAAATAGAAACTTCAGTTACAGATGACATGAATATCCATTAAGCTAAAAATGTTCCAAAAGAGATCTGAAGAGAAAACTTACAGAGAATACATTTTAACCTACAATAAATATGCTAAATTTCTTTATATACTACAGTATATGAACAATTCAAGAGAGAAAACTTACCAGGGATTTCACATCTTCATAAAACCAAGCATTCCATCCATCAATCATTAGCCGAGGTGCTGGCTTTGAGTGATCCCACAACTGCAAATAAAGTTACCCTGAATAAGTTATCATATCCAGCCTTCTAGTATCCAGATTACATTGGTAACTGGGCTGCTTATATTGATGATAGCAGTTGAAGACTGCAAAAACTAGTAACATGGAGGATAGAATCTGCCTGCCCGCCTGACAGGCCGCCACTCTAGATGGTGGCTCAGTCAACATATGTCCAGAGACAATAAATATCACACACCCACAGATGAAACAACCTTATTATATTACCGCTATTATAATTACAACTACTGTACTACAATGTATCTACAGTATCTGTTGTTATTAATTGGGTGGGAAAGTACTGAACTTTTCAAAAACAGAAAAATGTATCATGGGAAAATTTGATTTTAGATTTTTAGTAATACACGTACAGTATTTCATATTTCATAACTCTCAAAAACATCAAATAAAATCAATCGAAGTACAATATTGGCAAAATACAAGCAGCATCATAAATTGTCATTATTTCACTAATTATCATGTAACATTCATGTGCACGCTGTTTCCTCTCACTCACCAAACCCAATTAAGTGGAAAAAATGGGATAATGATGATAGTTTTACTATTACTGATGATAATTTTCTTCTATTACCACAACCATCATTGATGCCATTACGTAACCCATCAAAATTATCCCTGCAACTCGCCACACCAAAACAACTTGGATTAAAAATAAATTCTGATTGCCTCTTCATAATGAAACGGATAACGAGCCTGACAATATTTGCTCTGAGCTTACCTCCTGCAGAACAGGGATGACAGGGGGTTTGCACTGCTGGAGAAAGTGTAGCACCATCAGGATGTAAGCGTAAGAAGAGAGAGACCCTCGGGATGCATCCCCAATATCACATAATTTGGCAAAGTACTTCATAGCATACCCAAGGCACTGAAAATTATAAACTTCCATACTGTATCTTAAAAATTAGCTTCTCTCAGTTGCTGTTATATCAAACTATATTCCATAGATGATACCACAGTATATACAAATTTAACAGGTTAAATATATGTGCAATATAATACAACAGGTCATGATAATCATCACTTTCACATTTTAAGATAAAAAATTATATGAATTATAAATTAAATACTATTAACAAAATGAAAATTTTAACACTACTTTAGTCCAAATTAATGTACAGTAATTATCAAATCTTGAGACGCGAACTCCACTTTTTCTCTGCAGTTACTTTAGGCATGAAATCTATTGATTATAATTTTAATTTATTACATATTCATTTATAAAAAAAAAATAATTGTTGTAATGATTGGATAATTAGGTCTTCCACCTGCTGAAGTTCCATAACTTTGTATATTGTGGATGAAATGAGTGTTATAATTACTGAAATGAGTATTAAATTCATAGGAGGCAGGGCATAAAGAGCTAGATTTTACTCCCCTTGTAGTCACTGCTAGATAAGGAGCACAAGGTCTCTTTTCCTTCTCTGCACAGCATTACCACCCATCCAGCTCCCCCCCCCCCTCACCACACCCTACACACACCCCAGCCACTTCCCACATTTGCTCTCAATATCCCGGACAAACAGCCACTTCTTCTAATCGCTGCTGGTTTACCCCCACCCCAAGTACCCCCCTGCCCCCCACAACCCTCAGCCAATACTAAATGAATACTGGAACACTTGATGATATATTGGACTTGTACCCAAGATTGACTATGTAATACATCTGTTATACAATGTATTGTACCTATACAATATGTAACACATCTGTTATACAAAGCATGTACCTATAACCTGAGCTTGTAAAAGCATCTTAATCACCTTCAGTGGTTAAGTGTTTAATATCACACTAGTATCTAAAGAAGCTATCTTACCTTGTCAAAGTAGGAGACACATAGGTGTATGTATATATATGTGAATATATGTGTATATATGTGAATATATGTGAATATATGTGTATATATGTGTATATATGTGTATATATGTGTATATATGTGTATATGTGTGTATTTGTATACAGGGTATGTGGAAGCTGGTCGGAATTGCATTTCTCCTTTGTAAACGCACATTAATGACACTAAGACACATCGAACACTGCTTATGTAGGACAGACATAAATGTGTATTTATGTTTGTAGGTTAGCTTAGCATTTTAAAAGCACTACAATCACCTTCTGTGGTTGAGTGTTCAATAAATCACTGAATTGTATGTTTAACAGATCTCTCACCATGTCCATGGAGGACAGAAGAAAATGTATATATGCTGGTTAGCATTGTAAATGTGTGGCCACATCTTTGAAGAAAATAATAATAATAATAAATTCGGCCACTTTCCACATGAATGCTATATAATATCAGCAGTAACAGATGATTTAATAGAAAGAGGACGACAAGGAGGAGGGAGGTATAGGGGAAGATAAAGAGATGATCATGAGAAAATAATGTTTCATAATATTAGTTTCATAATATTGCATTACAAAATATACCGAGATCATACATACCAACAGTTCTGCAGCAATATTTATAAGATATACAATACTAGCAAATGCCATATAGAGTTGAAGAAGTAAGACATTTGTTGCAGCAGATGCTCACCTTCACCCTATGATCAATATTGGCATAGGTATGTAAAAGTTTGGTATTCTGCAGGGCTAAGGTGTTGTAGAGAGAGAGGTCACCTTCAAGGAAGGCTTGCCTGATGGAAAACTTGACAATTGGAACCTTTGCTGTTGTAATGGCAAACACATGTCCACACTGACGATATCTTTTCAATTTCTCTGCTAATGATTCTATGATCTTGATATGATTTATGTCCTGGAAAAAACACACAGATATACACACACACTCATTTAGATGAATTATGAATAAAAAATTATGTAAATTAAGATACAGTATGAGTTGGACAACACTCACAAGCATGAAATAAAACCTAAAACTAAGAGATGACGTCTTGTTAATTTATTTTAACACATAACCATATCCCTCCATTTCATGGTGCAGGCAGGAACTTAGCCTCCTCTAATATTTTCAAAGTGTAAGTTATTATGTCTCCCTCTCCGAGCTTCAAAGAGTACATAATGAGAGATTTTAAGCAGTCCCAATAATTAAGATGTTTTATTGAAAGAATTTGGGAAATAAAAGTTTTCTACACATTCTCCAGTTCAGCAGTTTCTCCAACAGCTGCACATATTATGTAGGCTTTTATAGTATACTCAATATTTTCTTAATTATCTGTACACAATACAAACACTACACTGTGTAAACTACCAATGTATGAGACGAACACAATAACATCTAAGATGAAGATAAGAGTCCACACTCCTGCACCAATACGTCAGCAACTCTTGCACAAGGCGTTAATTAACGCAGTGGCCCCATCATCCACCTTCCTTTTACACACCGTGAAAGCAAAGATGTAGATATTTGATTTTTTTTTACCATTCTTTAATTTTCCATGCAAACTTGTATATTTTTTGTGCACCAAGAAAGTGACAATTCTGATGATAGCTGTGTTAACGTTATTGAGGGTTAACGTTTTCAAAATTTATACCTAATATTTTTATTCTATTATACTTAAAGATCATATGTAATCCCTTCAGTCACTCACAAAATGCAATAATTATTTACCAACAGCAAAATCCTTAATCAAATTTAACTCAACTACATTCCATTTGTCTGTCTTTATATATTATGAAGAGTGAATTATACCTTCCTTGATAATCTATTTTGCAAAACAAATATATCCAAATACATTTTTACTAGTCGATATAATATTAAGCAAACTACCCCTCCTTTTTAGCAACATTTACCATGACAAAATTAGTGCCAAGTATTGTATTCTCTTCCATTATCATTGCCAAAATACAATATCAATTCATAAAAAACTTAAGCAAACTCACATCGCCTGATGGATTACCCTCAAAGGTCAAGCAAATGTCTAAATCCGAACGTTGGAAACCAAAACCATTTGCCGAGGAACCAAATAACTTGAGTGTCACACCACGGAAAAATTGGCGAATGTACTTTTCCAAGTCAGCAACTATTCTATCCCTGTCCTCAATTTCTTCTATACTTGGTTCAAAATCCTCTGAAAAGAAAGGTGGTTTATTAGATTATTATTATATACTTTTTTATTTTGTAGTCATAAAACTAGTTATGTTTCAACCAGCTAATTGAAGGAGAGGACTAATTGATGCAGGTTTACCTGCATCAATTAGTGATGCAGTGATGCAATTAGTGATGCATCGCCTGCAGGTGATGCAGGACTAATTTGATTAAAAAAAAATCCATCCTCCTCTTGCTCTGTAACTGTACAGTATTGTTAAATATCAACAGATAGACAGAGCGCGAGAGCATGCATGTATATTGCCCAAGTATAAATACAGACGGAGAGCTAATCTCATTGTGTCTCATCTTCGCTGTTATCTTTGTTAAATGATGATTTGAAACTGTTGATGGTTTTTGCCTCCACCATCTCACTTTAATTGTTTCAACCATCCACAACTTGTACATTTTCTTTTCACCGATGTTTTCTAAGCCTGTGTCGGCAGCCCTTTGTTCTAGATATTGTAGGTGTTAAAGATTCCTAGTTGTCAGTATTGTCATTTCCTGTCGTGAGTTTGTATTGTGTGTGACGGGAGGAGGGGAGGGGGTAGGATAGACAGAATGATGTGTTAGGGTGAGGTAGGTGGATGGGAATGTGGTTGGTGAGGGTTGGGCAAGTATGGTTAGGGTTAGGGTGTTGGGACCAGCAAAACTAGATCATGGGTTCTTGATACAAAGTATTTGAACATAGGCACTTATAATATACTGTAGTTTAACATTTATTACCATTAGTTACCAATATTGTAATTAATGTTGATGTCAATGCCAATAAACTGATAAAGTACAATATACTGTACATCCCCAAAAACATTAAAAAAATTCATAGGACCGGAAGAAAAAATAAAGGTGCCAAAAAAACATGAAAATTCGCTTTAGCTAACAGTCAATGGCGGGTGGACTAAATTAAATATTTAATGAGAGGTAGTATATGCCAAAACCATCAGAAGCTTCAAGAATTAATATGACAAAAATTATAGGTAAGATAGAACACCATAAATGCAGTTCTCATCCTGTAGCTACATTTTGGTAATAAAATAAGCACACTTAGGTAATTACACATACACTTGAAAATAAAAAAAAGGGTCTTACTTGTTAACTGTTCAAATATAGCAGTGAGCTGGCTCAGGAAAAGCCCATTCATAGGTGGCAAGCGCTTAAGGGGTGGCAACTCATCTTCACGACAATCTGCTTTACTATGTCCCTCTTTCTGGCATGACCCACATATTAAAGGTGGTTTTTGCCCCAATGTAAAGACCTTTCCGTCAAACCTGGAAGACAGTAACAATTGTACAATACTTGTCAATATACAAGTGCCAGCTTGGGGTTGGCACATGTATGTAAGAGAAAAGTTAAACAATCTTAATCTCTTCATATTATACTGCACACAATATGATTGTTGTTGTTGTTAAAGATTCGCTACCTGGAACAAAAAGTTCCAAGTAACACGGGCTATGGTGTTACACAATATGATGAGTATAATGGAAAATTTTCACATTCCAATCTGGGCTGATGTAACCTACTTATCTCTTACATCGTTGATCTATTCAAAATGTCCCCAAGTGGAAGCATGGAGAGACTGAAGAATTACACCTAAATATCAATTTAGGTGTAATTCCACAAAACAAATTTCATATTTGTTCCATGAAACAGTGCATCCTTATTTCAGCCAGACACCTATTCTGCAGACTCCATCTTAATCCACAGAAACCAACATTGAATATAATCAAATGCTTCTTTCTGAGTAGGCCTTGGTGGCTCCCTGTAGCCAGCTGTACTGAGATACCTATAAGCTACCTCAGCCCTTGCAAATTTTTAAAAGCCTACTAGACACCAGAGGCCAAAATCCCGCCCCCCCCCCCCCTCATAGAGGTACAGGAAATTCATGAAATCTCTCGCCAAAGAAAAAACCCCAAGAAAGTAAATGCAGCAAAACTGACAGCTGCAAGATTCACAGAAAGTAAACAATGCAGCAAATGATTGTCATTAAACGATCCACACAATAGTTAGGTCATATACCCCCCTGGTATTAACTGAACAATCAATACCAGGTGGCAACACCACAGGAGTTTCCGGCTCCCCATGCCAACGATCCTCAGTCTGGAGGCCAAGAAGGGAGGTAGTACATGTACATCCCTCAAACTCGCAAAATGCAAGTGCAGGCTCAGTAGACCAATCAATGATGATCCACACCAGGGGCCTGTAGGTAAAAGACCAAACAGGACATCCAAGCACTAGGAGATACTCGCCAAAAAGAAACACACAGAATGCAGCTCTACTGGAAAACTAGGCTATGACAGGCACCAACCATGTGTTGTATGTACAAGCATATGAACCTAGTGCACCACCAAATTAATAAACCCCAGAAGACCCCCAACCTCACGGAGTCAATGACCCTTATGCTACTCAGGGTGATGCACTCTCTACAGCAGGCCAGTCTCTATGGAGAAAATGCTCAAACCCATCAGGGAAGTAACCCAAGGTTAGAGCAACATCCCTGAGCTCCTAGGGAAATGCAGCTCTAAGCACATGCAGGTCAAGGTGAACTGTGTCATATGTCCACACAGCAAGTGAGGCTTGTAAACATGTGCACATGAAGCAAGCACTAACGATTGGACCAATATACAAGCAAATGGACCCTCACAAAACATGAGTCAAAAAAATGGCCAACACTGACCTAGAAATTATTGGACCCAAAGAGCTGGCAACTCATGGTCAGACAAGTTTGACATCAGACAAAGGGCTGAAGATTGTTGACATGGGAAGCTGGCAGCCATTGTGGTGCTGCCATCTGGTGGTGACCACCTGTTACTAGAGGGTGTATGACCTAACTACTGGGTGGATCATTTGCTGCATTGTTTGTTTACTTTCCGTGAACCTTGCATTTGTCCATTTAGCATCACTTACTTTCTGGGCGCCCTGCTTCTTCCGTAAGGGCACGAGTGAAGTCCCTGCTCCTTGTGCTTATGTGAGAGGGGCCAGGTTTTGGTTGAGTCTCCGATAGGATTTTAACTTTTAAAAACTCACAAGAGCTGATGTGATTTACAAGTGTGGAGATATCTCAGTGCAGCTAGCTACAGGAATCCATCATTTTGCCCCTCAAGAAACTTATAATCCTGGTATGTACATAAATCATGCACTATGTTTGGGAGGGAAGGGGGATGGGGGGGGCAAAGCTGATTTAATGCATCAGAAATTTATCCACCAGCCAACTTGCTGCCTGGCTTTCACTCATGTTAGTCAGACCCCTAACTTGCTGTACCCAACTTTTCTCTGCACATTTTGGCTTCCCATCTTGTTCCATTTACTGACCCTCTTGACCTATTCCTCTCAATTCTCCATCATTACCAATAACCTGGTAAACATACATACAGGTGTGTATTCCTTTGACCTGTAACCTCCTTTTATCTGATAGTATATGCTGCACTAAATATGACTATTTTGAAAGGAAATCTTCACTGGCTGCTTAAATTCATGTTCAACCCTTCCAATCCTACAAAATGATTCCACTTTGCTGGTTGGCCCTCTCACCTACACCTTGTAAAGGATTCCTTTCACATTCTTTCAGAGACTTTTCTCTGGTTATGTCCTCTACCCCCTCCTGGCTCTACCTAATTGTTTATGACCACCAATCTTGCCATCTCATTTTAAGTGTAATTTATGACTTGCTTTGTTTTAGCTGCATCCATTACAGTTGCACTTATCTAACTGTCTTGCCTCTTATACTTTAGCAACTTCTGCAAAAGTCTTTGCTGGTCCTTGACCCTACTAAATTGTCTCAACCTCTACTCATGTCTATTCTCTCTACTTTCTTTCAAACTTCTTTTGGAGTGTTCCTTCCTTCTCTACTACTACTGTTTTCAGTTTTGTATTTCCCTTAATTTTTCCTCAATCGAACTTGAGTGTAACCCTGATTTGGCAAATCTCTGGTTGCATTGCACACTTTCCAGGCCAAATTTATTCAACCAGTTCACCAAACAAGTGTTAGGAAATTCATTGAAGAGTGGATGTACAGAATTGCTTAGGAAGCAGGGCCAAAGTTCACAGACCTGTGGACAAATTGCCCATCACATGAGAGATTGAAATTTAAAGTTTGCTCAGTGAAAGCAGCCAAAAGTGTGAAATATTATGGCATGATGATAACATTAAAAATGTGATTGTAACTATGTTAAATATTTTGTTTAGATAAGATACAATATTACAAGAAAGAGTTGGGGGCCATGGTAAAGCCAATAAGCATATTTCAAAACCAAATTCTATAGTCCATTTTCATTTTGAGTTGCTATGGTTTTCATTCACTTAAAATATGGGGTCCTTCTACCTCCAAAAATAAGGTTTCGAGGCTGGGGCATGAGAAATAGGTTAGTTCTGGAGTAATCTCTTTGCAGACAGGTTCTCCTGGTAGGTGTCCATATGATACGTCAAGATGAAAATTTCACTTGGTGAAATTAGCCTAGTGTGTGGCGAATATTAGGGTATGAATGATAACTCATTATCAATCCAATTACATTTTTAACCATGTTGTTAGATGAATGAAACGTTAGAAGTCAACGAGCAAGCACACACATTTTTATCGTTTAAAAAAATACAAAAATTGCACAACACCAATGCCTCCTGAAAGTATCTCCAGATGCAACAAATCCCTCACTTTCACTAAATTAGGGTTGGACCCATACAATTCGCTGAATCGAGGTTGCACTGTACCATCATCTCCTTCATTCTTTCCATCTCTACCTCCTTCCTCTCCTCTTCCACATTTTTATCCAACGCTTTTTCTCCATCTAAACTCTTTTTATCATTTCCTTGATATACTCTATGGTGCCAATTTCTCAGACTCCCTTATTTATCTCTTAAATTTACACTTCTTCACTGCCAAGTGCATCTCCTTACTTTCTTCCAACTTAAATTGTACTTATTTGTTCATTTGTTTGTTCCTTCATATATTTCCCCTTGCTTTCCTGTTGGTTTCCATTTTGGTTTAGCTTAGAAATGTGCAGCTAGTATTTCAAGTTAGCTTTTGTGTACTGTGAAGCATATCTTCCCATCCTCTAGCCACTGACTGATAACTGGTTTTCAGCTACTCATTGTCCTCATGTGTCCTTCATCCTTAAAAAGTGTTGGTTTCCCTATGGTAATTTTTCCACTGGTGTACTTCTTTTATGTTTGCATTTACTCGTCTTAAATCTTTACTAAGCCTTGGCCTTTAATTTGATCTTTTACTTATCTTATAATTTCAACAGCACACTTCATTCACTCATATTAGAGTAGTGTTTTGCATGACCATCTACCACTGCACCTCTATAATAGGCCTTCATGGGCCATGTTGTGTAAAGTCTTGCATCGGTTATTCATCCCGCTTTCCATTTCGTTCTTTTTATTTCACTTTCCTTCCTTTTATTGGTTCCTCTCATTGCTGTTTTCATATGAATCCTGTCTGCTCTTAATACATTTGTTGACCATTCTCACTGAACAAAAATATTTCTATTGTCTCTTTGGCTTGTATGAAGTTTCTATCTTTTTCTTTTTTCACGTACAATCAATGCCAACATGTCTGCCTATTCTATTCCCACGAGAATTGTGTACGTGATCATATCTTCTTTATTACTTATCTAATTCTGCGAGGTTCAATTCTTTTAGTCTTAACTTTTAATTTAATCCTCGTGGTTCTGCCAAGATTTTTTATTTATACAGCATTGGCTATTTTCTTCATTCAGCCTATAAATGTTCTTTGCCTTTTATTCACTCTAGCTGGTGCACAACCTCTATACCTGTGTGTCTATTGCAACTCATTCTGTATGACTGTCATGGAAATAAATCAAGTTAAACATGGCTTTCCTCCTCTAAAACCATTTTGCACTTTCATTACAAAATTTCTCACCCTGGCTATTTTCTCCAATGAAATGCATGCATTATACAGTTAGTGATACTAGTCTATGATTTAGGGCTTCCCGTGTCTCTTTTCTTTACAATTTTACTATGTTGGCAATGTTTCTAGATTTCCAACAGTTTAGTATACCAACCGTATGTGATTACCAAAGAGTTCCACGTTGTTTCTGGCTGTCTGTAACCTCCCACCTGTGGGCTATGCTCCTATTGCTTTATACATTTACAGGAACCTGTTGTTGAATGGCAAGTAAGGCACACAATAATAAATCAAAACATTTATTCTCTGAAGAGGTTACAGAGATGGAAGGAGGAAATAACCATTCTACCCATAAGTGGAACGCTATGAGCCGGCATGTCTGGAGACATGATGGCACGAGTCCCAATGTTGGTAGAATCAGTGTGTTGGCAAAAAGAGGTTGGTCAGGAAGCACACTTTCCACGAATAGGTGAGAGACTGAATGGCTGAGAGTCCATCTTGCCCATATTAATTTTAGGTGGGAATACATCAGTGGTGGTAACTAACGTTGCTTGAAATGGTTATTGTGACTTCAGGGAATTAGCTCTTTAACCCTTAAACCGTACAATGCATATATATAGCTGGGGTGAGTAACTGTCGCAGAACACAGCTATGTATGGTTGGAAGTATCATGTAAGATTTAAAAGTCTCTGTACATGGGGTTCACATCAGCTTCCTCAGGGCTCTTGTAAACAGACGCCATTTAAAAAAAAAAAATCGTGAGTAATATTCCTGGGCTTGAAAGCCTCAGTACTGAGTGAGCAACCAAGCCTGGTGCACGCAGCATGAACTAACAGCACTCCTGTTCAGCTTGTGATCACAGCATTGCCTAAAAATGTCAAAATATGTATGTAACTTGAATTATTTAGCGATAATATTACAGAAGACCCCTGACTGTGATAAAAATGACCAGGATTCTGATAATAGCAGCATTCTTGTGATAATAAGCACTGTGCGTAGTAGGGTGGGAGTAGTAATCTCGGTGAGGGAGGGAGTGTCGTCTGTTGACTCTTGTGTGGCCAACTGTTACTGTCTGGGCTCACCATATCAGCCTAGTGGTTTGCTATGGTGAACATAAATGTAAATACTTGCATACAACATGTGTATTAGTGTAATAACAGCAAAAGGGGTATGTTGGGAGGAGCCATTTTGGTGAGGTAGGTGGTGTCATCTGCATGACTTGCCATGCTGTGTGTGTGTAGTGGGCCACTATGCTGTCACCTACGATTTTTTCCCCCCCTCCCGTGGTCAGGGAATACAAATGAACACTTTTATAAGAAAAAAAAAATTGTGCATGGGAGTGTTGCAGGTTATAATCAGAACAGCCCAGAGGTTAAGCTCTACCTAGCTTTTTATACCAATTACACTAATTACATCTCCCAACATTCACATTCTGGATATTCTTATTGAGATCTGGATCTCATTTCACTTTGGTGATGACCCATACAGAATATGAGGGCGTGCAAAACTTTTCGCCCTCGGATGGGTAGTTATTTCACAATGGTGGTGGCCCAGAGACAGATGCAGGGAAACTGATCTTTGGGACCACATCAAGGTAATATCACGATATGTAGAGTTGCATCGGGTAAGTGGGGCAAGGCAAGCTGAGGTCAGGAGAGGAAGAGATACACATCACATTACAGGAAAGACATTGGAAACAGTAGGCAGGTATGGTTCGAGATTCAAGACTTAACTATTTTACCTACATTATATAAAGCTGATTTTTAAAGAATAATAATTAATATATATTCCATTTGGATAAGCATTAGAGGCTGAAAAATATCCTCTTTGCAATTTAGTAAAATGAAATGCAAGGAATTTAAACCATTAAAACTATTAGGGGTTAAAATGAGCAATTACATGCTGTACTCTATACTATACTGTACTGCATATATGATATAGTTCCAAGATATAAAATACTCAAATATATATAAACAGCAGGACATGTGTCAAGCTTTTTGTTCAGCTATGCCAATAAATTTTTTTGACATTGACCAAGGTCTGCACCCAATCTGCCAAATCATTTTTAAAATGGTTTTACACTCTGCCACCAGTGTTATATGCCCAATACGAACAAGGATTTTCCTTGTGTCACCATATGCAAGTCAAACAATTCAAGCCGATATGCATAAAATATTTTCTGTCTCTCACAACTCCATTTCTTTTAAGAAAAACTAAAATTTAAGTATAGGGTATCCCTACCATGGATATGTAATAAAGATGAAAGATTTGCATTAGTGTTTTAATGCAAAAACAACAAAACATCTATTACCATTTCACCAACATATATTTGACTACACAATGTACCAGATTCTCTCACTTGTCATGTCTCCGGAGAATTGCTTTTTACATCTCATTGTATTGGGCAAGTCCATTCACACTCTTGCACCGGGTAACTCTATTGTCTTGCTTTAGTGTATGGTGTCAATAATTTACATTTTAAAGTACTGTACATTGTATATATTTAATAAAATGATTTGTCTTGAAATGAATATTTAAATTCCCATAAAGTCTTAAAATATTAGTCCATAATACCAGAGTTCACATGCATACTTTACTAACATCTACGGAAATAGAAAATGTGAAATTGAAGGATGGTACTATTGCCATCACCTGCAATATAATTTATCATATTGTAAGTAGTGTGCTGTAAATACATGGTTTAGAAATATTAAACAATTTAAAAGAAAATTGTTACCAGAGCTAAATGTAAATGTTTTTATCAAATATAAATTATATTACAGCATCATTAATTTATTATTTTAGTATTTTCCAATATATTACATTCTTCAATATCCAGCTGGAAGTTTATTTTCAGCTGGCTCATCATATTTTTTACTATAATTTTCTAAACTAATTACTCCCCTCAAAAAAATTATTAAACTATAATACTGTAATGATTAGCTTTCAATAAGCAGCAAGCAGCAGTGTCCAAAAAATTAAAGCTGAAAATGACACAGCCACTTATTAAGAAACCTTTAATATGCCAAACACAACAAAAGTTCCACCTTTAAATTATAACACAAATTTAGAAAACAAGAATTGTTTCCCCAAGCATAAGCATTCCACCAGAGCAGAGTAAAAAGATGAGAGGGTATTTGAGTGGCATGAGTTGGAGCACTCATGGATGGAAATCAAAGACACAGTGGAGAGACACTGAGATGGGAAGAGCCTGTGTCTGAGAAGGGTACCTCAGAGACAATCTGAAAAAATATGCATACCTTAATTTTCTTGCTACTGGAGATACATTTGCCAAAAATTTTACTGTTAAAAATTTGGGTAATAAAACTTCCATTTTATCCTTACCTCAAAATAATTTGATTTTCTTGTACCTGAAGCATGAGTCTTGCAGCCTGACTTGGAGTCACAAAAGGTATTGGGGCTGACAAGTCTTCTAAGGTTGCTAAACTTGATTCTTCTTCCTGTGAGCTCAGACCATTGGGGCTTAGAGATTCATGTGGCTCCTCCAATGTTTCCTGCATAATTCACTTAAAGTCAATGACATACATCCAATATCTATTAAACTCTAAACTACTTTCTGTAATTATTTATATCTGGCATGCATTCGAATCATAAACAATCTTAATTTACTTTATTTCATATAACAAAGGGTAATAACTGTAGCCTAATAGAAAACAAATGTGTTTACAATCTCTAACGCAGCATTTCTCAACCTTTGTATCCTCGAAGTAATTCCGGGTCTTACTTTAGATAAACATACACAGATTTCATAGTCAACTGAATAGAGAAGATTTGTCTTTGCTCTTGATACTGATTAAACGAGAAAAATTAAATACAAAAATGACTCAAACATATTTGTAGAAGATTAGAATTAGCCTATTTATCACTATCAAACTGATTAGAATTAGCCTATTTATCACTATCTCTTGCAGAACCCCTAGTTACCTTGGGGTTCTGCAGAACCTCAGTTGATAAATGCTGCCCTAATGTATAAGCAATAAAAAGAATGATTAAGGAAACCTATTTTGCTTCCTATAAAACTCAAGGATTATTAATTATTTGTATCCAATCAAGTATGGATTTTATGTATACAATTCAATATGAAAATTTACCATTATTATAAATGATATGCAAATTTGGGAAAGCACTTAGCAAAGACTATCACATGGAAGCGGACAGATAAAAACCAAATGGCGGATGTTACTAGTACTGAACTGTCAACAAGATACAAACATTTCAAGGATTTCACTGAGGAAGAAATAAGGAATTGAGGTTTGATGGGCATGTTAGTGATGGTTGAGGAGCTGCTAAAGATTAATGATGGAAAATTTCTTTCATTAGAAAGAGAAAATGAACATCTTAAAAATAAAATTAACCTTTTATAAGAAGGCATTTAGCAGTAGCATATATAATGTATGAAAAGGAAATGTACAAGTTTGTGAATATGTAAAGAAACCATACATTTTCTTGTTTATTTGTTACTTTAAATACCAGGTCTATATTTACATTTTGGTAAATATGTATTTACCAAAAATTACCTCCCCACTCGAACAATTCAGCACTCGAACGCTGTATTCGTGTTCGGTGGTCGACCATTTGTTCGGCACTCAAACGTAAACACGAGTCTCTGATGAGTCCATTTTCCAGTAGCTGTCGTTCAGTGCACACCACCACTAGACTTCTCTAAACTTTCTCGTGTTTCCTTGGATATTTTATTATTCTTTGTGTAAATAAGTCACCAATGAACCTAAGAAAGTTAGTGAAAGTTAGTGATAAGAGCCAAGCAAAAAGAAAATTATAACCATGAATGAGATGAAAAATGAACTCATAGCAAAATATGAAAGTGGCAGCCACGTGTCTGCTCTTGCTACCAAGTTTGTTATGCCTAAATCTAGTCCTCAAATAAAAGAAATGTATGCAAAATGAGGGGAAGTGCAAAGTTTTCTTGAAATATCACTCTGACAAAGCTCTGATAATGGTAGTGGACTCCCCTGCCAAAGAATAACATATCTTCTCTGCCTCGCTACCTTCCACATATGCAATCAACTCTCGTAAATACAGGTAAAGTATATACAGTACATGTATTTGCATTTACTGTACTGTATTTTATTTATTGTATCAATATATTTATTTTTGTGATCTGGAACAAATTAATCCAATTTATATTTTTCTTTGAGAAAAATTTGTTCAGTTATCTCCATTCAACCAGCCTTCAGGAACCAATTAAATTGAGTACTGAGGTTCTACTGTGTGTATGTATGTATATATATATATAAATATATATAAATATATATAAATATATATAAACACACACAAAGGTGTGTCCACACATACACATAGGTAAGTACACACACACACAAAGACTTGGGGGTTGATATCACACCAGACCTGTCCCCTGCAGCCCATATCAAGAGGATAACATCAGCGGCATATGTCAGGCTGGCCAACATAAGAACGGCATTTAGAAACTTGTATACGGAATCATTCAGAACTTTGTATACCACATTTGTCAGGCCAATCCTAGAGTATGCAGCCCCAGCATGGAGTTCATATCTAGTCAAGGATACCACTAAACTGGAAAGGTTCAAAGGTTTGCCACTAGACTAGTACCTGAGCTGAGAGGTTTGAGCAACAAGGAGAGACTACGGGAATTAAACCTCACGTCGTTGGAAGACAGAAGAGTTAGGGGGGACATGATCACCACATTCAAGATTCTCAAAGGAATTGATAGGGTAGATAGACAGGCTGTTTAACACAAGGGGCACACACACTAGGGGACACAGGTGGAAACTGAGTACCCAAATGAGTCAGCGATATTAGAAAGAACTTTTTTTAGTGTCAGAATGGTTGACAAATGGAATGCATTAGAAAGTGATGTGGTGGAGGCTGACTCCATACACAGTTTCAAGTGTAGATATGATAGAGCCCAGTAGGCTTGAGCAGGAACCTGTACACCTGTTGATTGATGGTTGAGAGGTGGGACCAAAGAGCCAGAGCTCAACCCCCGAAAGCACAAATAGGCAAGTACAAACACACCCACACCTGATAGCCAAGTGGATAGCGCTCTGGACTCATAATCCTAGGGTCAGGGTTTGATCCCCGGCGATGGCAGAAACATAATGGGCAGTTTCTTTCACCCTGATGCCCCTGTTACCTAGCAGCAAATAGGTACCTGGGAGTTAGACAGCTGTTACGGAATGCTTCCTGGAGGAGTGTGTGTGTGGGGGGGAGGAAATTAGTTAGTAACAGTTGATTCATTGACAGTTGAAAGGCGGGCCAAAAGAGCAGAGCTCAACCCCTGCAAGCACAACTAGGTGAATACATACACACACACACACACACACACCCCTAAAAAAATCATTCCCCTGAACACACCCCTGAAAAAAGGTGACACCCCTAGGGTCAACACTTGCAGCAGAGGAGCTCCAGTATATTTCAACAATCCTAAGTATTGTAGTACAGGTTGATGGTAGTGAGTGGTGTCCCAGAGAACATAAAGGTATAGTGCTCTTGAAAAATAGGTGAGATAACAGGAAAGTGCTAAGGGAAGTGAAAAATCGGATGAGAAAAAGTTGCCCTAGTGTTTACAGTGCAGAGAAGAACATTCAAGATGGCCACTGGCAAGGGGAAAAACAAAACAGAGCTTGATTTTGAGGGATTCAATGAAGAAAGCATTGATATTAGCAGTCTACATAACAAGTTGGTAAATTTAGATACTATAGTGAGCTCTCGTGTAGAAATAATTAGTAAATTGAAAGAAAGTAATGACCATTTGAATAGCAAAGTTTTATGTCTTGAGGGTTTAGTGAAAGACTTGCACAAGGATAAGAATCAATTGGAAACAAATTGCAAAGCCATGGAAGAAGAAAATAAACTCTTAAAAATAGCTTTGGAAGAAGTTAAAGTAAATTTAAACATAAATGACTACAATAGGTTAGGCAAGGAAATTCAACAGGAGAAACAGCTTTTGTCAGCACAGATGGAGGAAGTTACACAGGGAATAGAACAGTGCAAGAAAGATATGCAACTCACTTATGCACAAGTGGCCAAGGAGAAGGAAAAAATAGAAGAAGCAGTAAAGGAAGTCAAACACTGCTGCAACCAAGATAAAACAAACATTAGGCTAGAAGTGAGGAAAGAATTGGCATCTAACCCGAAGTTGGTGCAAAACACAGTTGATCGGAGTCCCTGATCATTTTTGGCTGCAAAGAAAAGGCGATAACATCTAGGTCAGAAAGAGCTGTAGAAGAAGCTAAAGTAGTAGATAAAATTGTTGGCCTCGTGGAAGGTCTTACAGAGAGAATGTGTGCGACTACAGGAGAATAGGCAGGTACGTAAAAGGGAAAGATCGACCTTTGAGGATCACCCTAAACGGTGCCAAACAGATGGAAGAAGTACTAAGGAATGCTAGAAAATTGCAAAGGGATGAGGATGGGCAAGGGTGGTCGTTAAGACGAGATCTTTCAAAAGAAGATAGAGAGAAGCTGAAACTGAACCTCGCCGAGGCAAAACATTTAAATGAGAGCAGGAATGAAGAGGAAATAAATTCTTTTTTCTACAAAGTGATAGGGGTAGGCAAACCAGTAAAGTGGTACATAAAGGCAAACCAACAAAATCAATAGAGAGAGGGGGAGTGAAGAATAAGGAGAGGGGGAACAAGTTCCTGAAGATTGCATACACCAACATAGATGGAGTGAGATCGAAGATACTGGAGTTAAGTGATGTAATACAGCTGCAGACACCAGACATTGTTGCACTCACGGAGACAAAACTTGAAGATGTAATTTTAAATGAGGTCATATTCCCAAGGGGCTACTCAATTTGGAGACGGGACAGAAAAATTAGGAAAGGCGGTGGCGTTGCTGTGCTGGTAAAAGAACACCTAAAGGTGAAGGAAATAATGACTGCCAATCCACAAGAAGTTGACATAATAGCACTAGAGATCTGCTATGAGGATGATAAACTAATGATGATAAATGCATATAGTCCACCGCCAAGCAGCACATGGTCAAAGGAGGAGCTAGATAGTAAACGTGAAGGTCTTATAACAATAATGAGAGAGATTATAGCGAGAGCGGATAACGATAGATCACGACTGTTGATAGTCGGTGACTTCAACTTGAAATCCATAGACTGGGAAGCATATGAAGCTAAAACAGAAGATTTTTGGACCTGTAAATTTGTAGACCTCATCCTGGAAACATTCTTGTATCAACATGTTAAACAAGCTACGAGGATGAGGGAAGGGGACGTTCCCTCCATGCTAGATTTGATATTTACCAGGAAGGAGGAAGAGATATTTGACATTCAGTACCTTCCTCCCTTGGGTAAAAGTGACCATGTCTTTTTGGGAATAAAGTATGCAATGCGTTATAAGCTGGAAGAAAATAAAGAGGTTGAAGCAGTTGAAAAACCAGACTTCAGGAGAGGACATTATGGTGACCTTAGAAATTTTTTTAGTGAGTATAATTGGACAGACTTGATGCTAGGCAAGGAAGTGAATGAGATGTATGGC